CTCCGCCTCCTTCACCAGCGTCTCCAACAAGCAAATGCAACATTTCATCAAGTCATCACACGCGGAGGCCTCGCATCTCAATCCGGCCGCCCAGAAGAAAGCATCGTGCGAAGACTCACCACCCGCTTGCACTGGGGCCCTGCGGTGGAGGGTCTCAGGATCAAAGCGCAGAGCTTCACATCTTCCGGCTGCGTACATTTATTCTGGAAGACACAAACGGAAAGACCAGGAAGAACCAAACCTCCGTCGTCGGCTTAGCGGGAGGCTTTTTCGTCACGGCCCAGGGTTGAAAATGTTTGCTCGCGTCGTCCTTCTCGGAGGGATTTAGCGAACCATCATGGTTAGCCTGCTCGCTAACAACAAGGCGCTCTCCATTTTGGTGTCCAAAGACACATCACGGCCATGACTACCGGGAGCAGAAAAGTCCATTAAAAAATCAGTCCTTTCACGCAGTTCCTACCGTGTCTATTTTCAATTCAACTTCGCTGCTTGAAGTGTACACTACACCCGCTGTTTCAGCGCCACTAGAAGCAATGGAGGGAGCCAACTCCATTTTTGTTATTTTGTCACTTCGAGAGCTTTTAAAGTCAAATCCAAGATCTGCTTCTGGGTTTCATGTGTTCGAGTTTGCCCGTCAACAGTCCAAAAGCACAAAACTGACTTCCCACCCCCAAGGTCTTTGTTTTTACCTGAACCCGTGGCCCGGCTCTTGCACGAAGATCACCAGAACCACTTTTGTAGTTTTCCATCAAGCCACCAACTAATGAAGTGAATTTCTTGGGAGGCGGAATCACGTGACAAGTCAAGATGGACAAGCGATCAGGGTCAAGATGGAGACGACGCAGCTTTCTTTGATTGATCCGGTTTGATTTTGATAGAACCTTGTGCTCACCGATCAACTCTATATTCACTTCGTAGTTCAATAAAATGTTGAGAAATTGCAAGACGCTCCACCCAACAAACAAACAAAACGGCCATGAAAACAAAAGCTCCCCGGCGGAGGCATCGGTAGGAAGGAGGCGTTTTCTCCCCCCGCTTACCTTCCTGTGCCGCCGCGGCTCCTCGGGCCCGCCGCCGCGCCCCCGGGGGCGCGCCATGCGTCGGCCGCGCCTGCGCAGGACCACGCAGATCTGAGCGTACACCAGCAGGGTGACGATGAAGGGCACGTAGAAGGACGCCACCGACGAGTACACCACGAAGGCCGGGTCGGCGAAGCTGCACGTGGTGCCTTCGCGATCCGCTGGGAGACAGGAAAACCCACTTCAATCACCTCGGCTCATTCCACCTCTCCGACGCGCCACCGAGGAAAAAACAAACATTTTTTGTGGTCCAAGTGCCAACATCACGATGATGATTTCGAACCGGCTCACCAAATTCCACCCCATATGCAAGCTCCCGCCAGAAATCTGGCGGGAGCTCGACCGAGACACAAACGCAAGGAGGTTGATGTTTTGCGTGCTACCGGTGTTGTTGAGTCCGAAGAGCAGCGGGCAGGAGATGGCGAAAGATAGGAACCAAACGGCGGCGATCATCAGCGCCACCCTCCTCCTGGAGCTGTAGCGCGTGTTGTACAACAAGGGCATGGCCACCGCCGTGTACCTGCAAGCGCACACAAATCGGACTTTGCAAATCCAATTCAGCTTGACATAAAGTCGTCACGGTTTGGTTTAGCTTTGAAGGAAATGCCACATTTGCAGTACGGTTCAACCCTCGGTGGACTCTTGAGCACATAACACACGTTGGCATTTGACATTATTTTCATATTGCTTTTTACAATTAGTATACAATACTCTCCTACAGAATACAACCAAAAATCAAAACCGGGTTTTGTTGCGAAGGTAAATTTGGCAAGCTGTACAGAGACGAGGTGCGGGGACTGTTGACATCGGTCTACAGTCCCTTAGCCAATCAGGATACAGAACACGAAGCACCGTTTAAAAAAAAAAAAAAAGTGCCCTCAGAAAATCCGGGAAACAGTGAAGCTGTGAAAGTTGACCCGCGTTTTAGCGAGGGTTCGCTGTACTGACAAGTTCATCATTCATCTGTATGGACAATGACAAGAAGAAAGTCACGGCATCATCGACTCTCAAATTGGGCCGTACCTTATCGAATAGTGACCCGCGGAGTCGGATCGAACCGTCCTCGAATCGTAGCGCACCCCACATATCGAAAAGCGGAACTGAATCGTCTTTTGTGGAAAGCCACGCGGGCCCGGTGACTCGTCAGAAGTACGGCGGCCCGTTTTGCAAAAGTGAGTAAAACTTGAGCGTGGGAGCGTACCTGTCGATGCTGATGGCACACAGGTTGAGGATGCTAGCGGTGCACATCATCACGTCGAGCGTCAGCAGGACGTCGCAGTGGATCAGGCTGAAGCGCCACTCGCCCACCACCTTCAAACACACGCAATGAGCCCACTCCCACAAAAGGACAGCGGTCATGTTCGAGAGGCGCAATATGTCCATCGACTGCATCTTGCACAATGTCCCTGCCACGACTGTGATTAATTAACCCCTCAACATGAATAGTTTATTTTCCGCCAAGACGGGAGCTCGCAATTCGTCACACTTACATTTTGAAATAATTCACTTTAACGGGTGCCCCAATGACAACGATTCCTCAAATTAAATTGCTTCAGACGGAAGAGCATCAATCCTTCAATTGTCTCTTCTCATTCCGGCGGCAGCTGAGCTGGAGCAAAAAGACTTTCGGCGGGGTACATTCTGGCCGACGGGCCAATCACGGCGAGACAAGCAATGATCCGCCATCCATTTTCTACAGCAGACATCCAATTATGGCGAGCTGGATTCACAATTGAAATCTTCAGTGAACGTAACATTCACATTTTGTAATGTGCGATGTGAACTTAGTGGCCAATCGAGCTGTGGGGCACAAATGATTCTGCCCACGTAGTCTGCCCAGCAACAGCTGTTCAGTTCAATAACTGCAAGTGTGTTGATCTTTTTTCTATGGCTTATGTGTTTTTTTTTTGTGTGTGTGTGTGTGTGTGTGTGTGTGTGTTTTCTTTAGGCCTCTGGAAAAAGACCAGCATGGTGAATGTGATGGTAAATGGGGAGGTGGGGCACAATTAATTCTGCCCCCACAAAGTCTGCCCAGCAACTGCTACTCAGTTCAATAACTGCAAGTGGAAAATTCTTTATTTATTCTTTGGCTCGGTGTGTGTGTGTTTCGCACTTTGGAAAGGAAACAGCATAGTGAATGTAATTGTGAATTGGACTGGGGGGCACAGATTATTCTGCCCTGCATTGTTTCCCCAGCAACGACTGCTCAGTAAAATATCCGCAAGCGCGTTTAGTTTGGTCTTTGAGCGTTTTTTTCCAGTCATCTGGAAAGGAAACAATGGATGAACATATGGGGATGAAAACTGTGAGTGGGTCTTTGCCGTCCTACCTCCAGGTAGACCCCCCAAGGCATGACCAGGGTGGCCAGTAGCAGGTCGGACACAGCCAGGGAAACAATGAGGTAGTTGGTGGTGGTCTGCAGGGCTCTTTCCCGCGACACGGCCACGCACACCAGCACGTTGCCGAACACCACGCAGAAGATGAGCAGCACGAGCAGCACGGCGTAGAAGTTGTACGGCGGCGAGGAGGGCGAGGACGCTCCTCCGCTGCAATTGCCGGCCAAGGACGGCGGGACGTACGAGGGGGTGGCGGAGGCCAGGGCCGGCGAGGAGTTGAGATGGGGGGTTGGCGGTAAGGAGGAGGGCAGTGGTGGAGGAGGAGGGGGAGGAGGAGGAGGAGGAGGAGGAAGGAGGGAAATGTCGGCGGAGTTGTTGTGAGAAGTCATGGCGATGCCTCAGTGGACATGTCGGCTCTGAAAAGTGGCGACACAAAAGCAGACGGTTAGCTCATTTTCAAAGCCGCCAGTGCACTCAATTGGAAGACATTCTTGAAAACGAGTTCCGACTCAGACACGGCAAACCAGATTGGCTTGTGCGCCGAAAATGCACGTCCCGAGCATTGAGACACAGGGGCACGCAGGACGTACTCAACACACCTCGCGGATAGACGGTCAGCGAGACAAATCAACAAACATGGCCGACCTCATACAAACATTCTCATCTGCTGGGTTGCGAACTCATTCTGGATGGGACAGCTCGGAAAAACATGCATTTGTATTCTGAACGGTACTTAGGCGTACCAAGTGCCCGCATTTTTTCACACTTATTTTCCAAGGCTATTTGTAAACAAAGGAACAAAACAAATGCTTCATTATTCTTCTCTCTCGCTCTTACGATGTAAGAGGTTTATGTACGAGTCAAAAGGAATTAAAAGGAAACTTCAGACCACCGGTAAAGCTCCATTATTTCAACCCACGCTACGGCGTCACTTTCGATTCGCTTATTTAATATTTAAAGCCAACGTCTATGCCGTCAGTCAAGGGAACAATCGGCAGCGAGCAGGATGCAATCAAGTTTGAGAGGATGGCGGCTTTGTTTTGCGGTGCGGAGATTCGGAGAATCCGTCGATCATCTCGCCGCCAATCTCTTTCAAATCAACTGACATCTGTTGAGAGGGGGAAAAGGAGGTGGGCTCGCGTATGATGACAGAATGACGACGTAAGGCTCAGAATCACCGGTTGTTTGACTTGGCCCTTGAACTTCAAGACTCGCGGGGTTTTGAGCCAAGCCGCCCGATAAATACGCTCGCATTCTGCATCGGGAACCGCTCAAGTGGGAAGCCCCGAAGGAAACGTTTGGCTTTCCTCTCTCGCTGCGCTGATCCTCGCAATGTTGTCTCGGGTAATGAAGTCTGATCAAATCTCTTTTCAGTCAACTTGTATCTCATCCTGCTGAATCAAAGTCACTGAAGGATTTGTTGCCATCAAATTTCTTCCCAGCATTTGAGGCTGATTGACTTGATAAATAACGAATTGTCTACTTTGAAGGCTGAGAGAAGAAAGAGCAGCAAAACTAATTAAAAGTGTCCTCAGAAACACGAGCAGCAGCAGTGAGCGTGACTCCGTTCGTGTTTTTTTTTGGGGGGGGGGGTAATTATCAAACATCAACGTTTATTTTCTGCCACAAATTTAATCACCTGTGAAATGATTTCAAGAAGGAAAAATAGAGTGTCGGCACATCTACTTCACACACTAGCAAAGACTGTTTGCACATCACCAACGAAATGAGCGCATTTGGAGAGAAATAGCACAACCGTGCATCATGTTGGCATATGGACTTAGCATCAGTCAATTTAAGGGCCTTCATAAGCGTAATGCGAGTTCTCTATACACTATGTTAGCAGAGTAACTTCTGCAGATTTTGAGCATATTGATACGAGTCCAGTTTGCGGTAACAATTTTTCTTGAGACCATTCGAAGTCACGTTTTAAACTTCATACACTGTCAAGTAAAACACCTCATTGACGGCGAAGTAAGGGTTATCGGAATCCAAACGGTGCCGCATGCAACACATGCAGACAACAGTACTCAGTCAGATTTTTTTTTTTTAATACTCTGTGAAGAACAACTAATTTTAGTGCCGTACTGATGAGCTAAGGGAGGAGCTGAGCTGGTTCAGACTGGCTCCAGGTGGCCAAGGTAGAACAGACTTTTTTCCATTCTATTTATGTCTTTTATTTTTTTCCCAAAAGATGATTTAAGAGATAAACGTTTTGAGTTCCAACACGGTCAAGAAACAAATGTCACTTGGGTCTCAAGGCAGTGGCTCCCTGGAAAGGCGCATCCCATGTCGGATGTGATGACACCGTGCCAGAAAACGAGTGTGTGAACTGGAATACGCGGCTAAAACGAAATGAGACGCAGAGGGAGGAGATGACTCCGTCCGTGATGGATGCGCTTTCCGCTATCGTGCCACCCTCCCGCAGATTGCTTTGAACCAACCCCCCCAAATCCCCTCAGAGTGCGTTGCGTGATGTGTGATTCAAGACGGCAAGTGCCACAGAGCACTTGATTTGTACACAAGCATTTTTTTTCCAAAACAATGATACTGAGCAAAGGGAGCGAGTTTCTCTCGGGAAGATGACCTTCGTCCATCATGAATCGACTGAGAACGAATGGCGTGTGGTTGAAAAAGACAGAGGGTGTCAACCGTGTTGGATTGAAACTGAAAATCAATACATCAAGCATCCGCGCCTGGAAAGGCACGTGAAGGCCAGCCTTACAAATTTTTTTTTGTTCCTAATTTTGGCCTTTTTGCCCCATTTTCAAGTTTTCGCCATTTTTTTTTGTGCCATAAGATACAGCCTCCAAAGAGAATTTCACTCAGCCATGTGCAATCGGGCAGACCCAGAAAAAATGGTCAAGAAACCTTGTCTGAAAAGACCCACCAAATCCAGCACTTTGGTTCAAAGAGGACATTTTAGGGTCATTTCACAATGGTCGAGATTTTGCCCGATTGCTCCCAAATTGGACCCACACATACCAGACAGATACGGGACGCTAACTGGCAACAGAATTATATAATGGGTCATGAGATGTGGTCAATGCACGGCGGAAAATTTGGACGCCACAAAACTCAAACGCCGTAAACAGCTCCAAGGTCAGAGCTGCAAAACGGAACCTTCTGGAGTTCAGATTTATGGTTGGCTAAATATGTTGTGATGCCGATGGGAGGGGGGTAGGGGGAGGGTGCGCTGCTTGCAGCGGGTTTGAGCATATCGTCATCAGGAGGTTATCGGTTTGACCTCCTTTTCCCACACAGATTGTCAGGCATGTCCTTGAAAGGGGCTCGTTGTGTTCCAAAACCGGATGCGGCCACAGAGACACATGACGGCCAAATGCCAAATTTACTGTCTTTATGTTATCAAATTATTGTTTTAGCTGTCTTTGTTTATATATATATA